TCATTAATTAAGTCATATACTTCAGCCTTGGCTTCGTTTTTTTCCCCAGGGTCTATGAAACCAGAAGACAGGGCAAGCTAGCCTCTATCATTCGATTTCTTTGGCATGTTAATGCATTCCTAAATTAATCATCATCAAGTGACAATCTCCCCTTCATCTTAACAGAGTGAGCAGTGGCCTCAGTAAACCTGCTGGCTTATGCAAGGCAGCTGGAGCATTAGAACAGCTTCTGATGAAAACCAAAGCACTTCACATACAGAAAAACTCCCCCATCTCTTACTGTCGATAATCCAAACCAGCTGCGTGCCTACTCTGCTTCTACAACCAAGAACCAGAGGTGCTTTGTTTCTAGAGGAAGTACAGTGAGGAACTGAATAAACACATGCATCACCTGTAGGTCCCTGCAATCCAGACTAACACCTAATGCTATTGGATCTTGCATCAGGCTCCGTGTGAATGACAAATTCAGCTTAGGAGAACTCAGAGACCCGTAAAGTTCAAAGGCCTTCCTGTTGGTTGCAGTCACTAACAGCCACCTCTACATCTTTCCTTTTGCACTAACCTGATCTAGTCCCCAAAACCTGAAACCTTGTTAAATTCATTCATTAGTAGAGGTGTGATAATCAAGCCTTGGGAACCAGAAGCATCTCTTTGGTGGGAGTGAACAGAGGAGTCTCCTGGCTATGTGCACCAGACAGCTGAACCACTGCAAAAAAGAGCTTTTGTCTCAACCTTTATGGAGGTCCTCACGGAAAGTCATACTTAAATCTCCATATATTCATAATGTTCTTCAAAGTACATTTCAACATATGTGTTTATGTTCCTCCCTCTCATTAACTTACTTCTTGGGAAAATACCATGAGCATGTTATTGGTCCTTTATTTGCAGATAATCTGAAAAGGCACTCTCTGGATTCTAAACACAGAAATTTTCTACCTCCCTCCTTCATTCCTACAGGATAAATTAAATCACGTCCTGTATGCTTAGTGCCCAATTCTCTCTCTTTTTTTTTTTTTTTTTTTTTTTGCTGTTATTTCCACTGGGTAGGAAAGAGGAGGACAAGAGATTAAACGTAAATTTCCTGGGGGGGAAAAAAGAAACCCATTTAAATGATAGCTGCAATCTCATGGCACAGAAATAGCTTAGACACGTTCCCTTGTGCAGATTTAGGACACTAAGCGATCACCTAGAAATGAAAAATAAACACTTTACTCCCGTCAAACATAATTACCTGATATTTCAATCCAAGATTATAGCTACTGCTAGGTATCAGTATCTGTGTGTGCTTGCATTTAAAATAAGTCCAAACACACCTATCAACTACTAAAATAGCAGCAGCGGAAATGTTCCTTTTCCAGTTAAAGTAACAGTCTCTCTGATCAAAGTCATTAGCAAAATGAACATGGACTTCAGAACACATTAAAACAGCATAAATGTAAATAGTTCTCTGCTTGCTTTAGGCTCCTGCCAAGCCCTGCCTGCACCATCCCATGTTTCCTCAGTCACCAGTGCTGAAGTCACCAACACCTAATGCAGGAAAAGAAAGGCAGCTCCTTGCTCTGCTTGAGGTGTCGGTGACGTCAGCCCGCAGCAAGGAAAAGCAGTCATCAACACTCAGATCTTGACAGGGGAAAAGTTTCCAGGTCACCTCTAGCACCGAAAAACATAACAAAGGGATCATTCTGATCTGAACCAGTGCTTTTTGGGTGGCTGCCATCAGCAGGAGGAAATGAGTCCAGAAGGCACTCCAAGGAGGTGCAGGATGCCTGAAGCGCCGCTAGAAATACTGAGATTTAAGAGCCACACAGAGGGATCTGCTGGCACCAGCCCTAGGCAGCAGGCTGAATTCAGAAAGCAGCTTTTGCTTCACTCCCCTGGGAGCAAAGCAAGTGCCTTGAGTGGACTTTCCTACCTGATAGTAATTCAGCTCCTAGAGTACCTTCTATCGAAAGATCAGAACAATGAAATTAGGTATACATCATCTCCGAGAGGCAAGTGCTGCCTTATTTCCTGCATGGGAAAGAGACCCAGAGGAACTTATTGAACTAGTCCATACCATAAGCAGTATAGCTGGGATTAGGGCGATGTCATCTGACGTGATGCTGACTTTAATCACAAGGACATCTCTCCTCAGCAAACATCCTCCTCTGCTCTCTGCCAGCTACTGCGTGCAAGATCTTGTCCTGTCATCACTTCTTGCACAGCCCTGCAGACCTGCAAACCACTTCAGCAAACCAAGCCACCTTCAAACACTGCACGCTGCAGGGCTGACCCCTGTGAAGGGGTTATGCAAGGCCAGACCTGCGTGTCCGGTAATAACATGAATAAGTAACCAGTCCCAAATAATAAGGCAAGCACTTGCACAAGTGTAAAAAATATATATCGAAAATATATATATCCTCAGGAAGCATGGATCAGCAAGAGCCTCCTTTGTCTAGTGGAAAGGGTGGTCACAAGAGTCAAAACCAACTCCTGTGGCTGCTGGAAAAGGCAGGGTCAGCATCAAACAGCAATGTGCACCACAGGGAACTATTTCATCTTCAGCTGGTGGGGACAACCCACAAACACAGCTTGCTCTGTGCTTGTGAAATTATTTCTTATGGAAAACACAGGAGCTTCCAATAAAAGTTAGGGAAGAGGAGAGGTGTGAGCCTGAGCACAGTGCTTGAGGAGCTCTGCAGTGGTTTCATCTCCAAGGTCTCTGCGGCAGCATCGCATTGCCTTACCTGGTAACACACTGCAGCTCTTTAGAAAATTGCCAGTGTTTTTTGCAAGCTTTAAGTGGGGAGATAATAACATCGGCCTTTCCTGCTCCTCCTGAAGCTAGGAGGAGACCTTGTACACCAAGTAATCGCTGGATTACACTGCTGACAAGTGGCTTTGGGGCTGCTTGCTGATAAACCCGGCTGAATCACCAGTGCGATCAACAGGGATTTCCTGCTCCCAGCGAGATCCAACTTGGATTTCTGAGCTGGCGCTACACGCATTTTTGTCTTGCTAGCATTTGCAATTAAATTCATCTCAGCTTCTTCCAGATGCACTTGTGGCTCATTCTAGTCCAAAACCACACACATTTTCTCATCAACCAACTTCAGAAGGATGCTCAGATCTCTGAATTCAATCTTACAAGCTAGACAAACAAACACTGCATACACTGAGCCTGGGTAAAAAGACTGACAAAAAAACTGTAATAAGGTAACAAATTAGGAATAACAAAAATTTTGTGATGTGGAAGCAGCAAAAACCAGAGAGATATAAACCCATATCTACTATGGCTTTCGAGAAGAAAATCTCTTGCCTATAGGTATGATAACAGCATTCCTGGAATATGCTACTCTTTTCCTGGTGTCTCTCCAGCCAAGTGGTATCAGCAAACTGAGAGGAATTTACAGAGACTATTCCTTACCGTGAAATTTCTCTGTGGGAAGATTAAAAACTAGTTACCAACATCTTGATTTCAAGATTTTAAGAAGCTGTTGCAGCCATTTTACCAGCACCTAAAGAACATACCCACAGTGGAAGAGGAGGAATTGTGGATGATGATGATATAGGAAAAAAAAAAAATCCTACACTGACCCCAAAATTTCTTCCTCTTCTCTCTGCCAAGGTTTGCTCACACACAAAGGCCGAAAGTGCCTGCAGATTGCTGTATTCTTGTCCCAAAGCTCCCTCTGCTGCTCATAGTCTAACCTTTCCCCCTTCCTGAGAGAATTGACCCTGACTGAAAATAAGCAGAAGCACTCTCTTTATCTGTGGTTTCCAGGCATCTCTCTCGTAACTTCTGCTTGCTAAAAAGCTCAGGGGTGTGGGAAGGCCAGAAAAACACTTTATGAGAAACTGCCATCAGCCACTGATGCCTTTCCAACTCTTTGTGGCTAGAAGGCACTCATCAGTCTGGTGCATTCTTTTCCATCTCGGAAGTCTGTCTTGTTCACTATCAAGTGAACACGTTGGGGACTGCCAGCTCCCATTCGACCAAACCTGGCCATACATGGGGCAGTGGAATGAACAGACAGCACTGAGAACAAGCCTACTGTGCTTAGCGCTAAGTGCAGACTTGGTAGATTAATAAAACACACCCTGAGGAAAGCAGCTGCTCCATGTCTGGGGCATGGAGTCTGATACAGCATTGCTGAACAGAATCAGACTTCAGGAGGTCTCTGCTCCAACCTCATTAAATAGGAGAAGTTTGAGGAAAAAATCTTGAGCACCAACACCTGTATTCAGTCTCCAGAGAGATGATGATCCAATCATCACTGCATTTTGAGTGCAATAGTCCAACCCTTTTTCAACCCTAACAGCTCTACCCAGACACGTTTTGGATATACACACACTGTAGGATATTCCAGTGACAGCCTTGCTGAATGGAAAGGCTCTAACCACTTGATCATAGAAGGCTACCAGATCAGTCAAGAATGCTTTACTCTATGTAAAGTCCTCTCTGAAATGGAAAGACCAGTGTAGGCATACTGCCTGGCTGGGCAAAACTTTGAGCATTTCTGTCAGCATCTTGTGTTTAAGACAATCAGTGCTTTAGAATAAGTCATATTCAGGTGAGATTAAGTCCCTGAGCTTGCCAAATGAGGATAAAAACCAGAAATACAACACCCACAAATCTTCTGTTGCACATTTGTCCACACAGGAAAAGCAACAGCTGTCAGGAGCCTTTGCAGCATGATCTCTCAAGCCTGTGTTAGTTTAATTAAACAGCTTACTGAAAAGCTTACTGAGTCCTTACTGAAAAGAGTTTCATGGTATGTGAGAAACCAGTTTCAGCAGTGCCAGAGAGGCTGACTGTAGATTGAATCCTTATAGCCCACCACTGATGAAACATATTATCTTGCTTAGGCATACAGAACTGCATGGTAGAAGTGCCTCCTCTCATCACACTTGAATTTTTTCATTCACCATCTTCTCTAGAACATCTCAGAAAAGTGAGTTACACCACTTGGAAAAGTCTTCCAGAAAATAGAGGCTTGTAAAGGTTTTACTGCACTCACCTGCTCATTAAATTGCTCTTGCGATAAACAATCAGTTACGTCCACACAGCCCAGGAGGCACCCTGAGGGATAATCATTCGGAAATTCCACATCTGCATCAAAAGAAATATATTTTAAGGGGCACACATCTCCACACACATTGCTGGGATCTCTCAACCCCCAGGTACCCCTCCCTCCCTCGACACACCTGCGCTTTTTAAGGCAGAAGAAAACATAAAGCGACTTTAACATTCTGAAGTTCTTTTTTTCCATTTTCAGTAGGGAAAGAGCACACTGGCATAAACTGTGTGTGTGCTGAAAATGGTAAAGGTTGTGCATTGCTCTCTCCACACATCCTCAGCCTGCATGACATTCCTGCACATGACATTTCAGTTGGGCAACATGCAGAAACACTGCACAAACATGTGTGTGGTGCAGCCACCAGTATTCACCTACACACATGAGAGAACAACATTTTTGTGGTAAACTGCACGTTTTCCTTCTCGATTCCCACAAGGTCAGAATACATGAAAAGCCTTTAACATCCCTGTGAACAGACGGCAGCACAAGCAACTTCACACACACACACACACACACACACACACACACACTTGGTATCTTATTGCTTGAGCCCAGAATAAAATGAAGTCCTTCGCTGTCAAAACTGATCAGGGAAGTCAGGCACAATTCTCTAGCATTTGTGCTTGGAGTATCTGAAAAGCCTAAGGATGGAGTGAAAGTCAGCCACCATACCAATTCAACTGATGAAATGCACAAAGGATGAAGAGAATTTCAAGAACAGAAAGTAAAAAAGTGAAGCAGTAATATCTGCTCAGCAGAAAGGGCTTTCTGACACTGCTCATTACGTGGCTCAATGTACAAAGATCCAAGAAGTTCACCTTTCTGAAGCAGCATTCTATAGGTGGTCTCCAATTCAGAGATTTCCTGAGGGGAAGGTCTTTTGGCAGTAGCTGCAATCCACAACCGCCCTCTATGAGATGTGTACCAGGTCCTGCCCTCCACCCTAGGAGAACAAAGGAGAATTTAGGACTTAGATTTCAAGAGAATTCCCACACAGACAGACTTTCAATCTAACATTTCACTAGGTAATTCCTGTTGCTAAACCCGGACTACATAAACCTCAAGCAATGTGTCAGAACTAGAGAAAAGCAGAGAAGGGCAAGAAATAATGCCACAAGCAAAGCATGTCCTCACTCCTACAAAGTAACAGCACAAAAGGACATCAATCTCCTGTAAAAACAACAGTATGTTGGAAGTGTGCAGGACAATCTGCTCGAATAATTCACTTATAAGCTCCAAAGTTGGCACATTGAGCACGTGATCTGGAGAGTAACAAATGACCGGACACCTGTACAGGGCAGTCCTTAGCTATGGATCTCAGCATGGGCACCAAGCACCAATGCTGCATCTGTACCGAAGCAGCCCAGATCACCTCAATGCAGAATCAGGGCATGCTGAGATTTACGGCATCTTCAGATTGGGAGAAGAGAAAGCTTTGCTCTCTAACATGAAACATTCTTTGAAGGAAAGAATAAAGGCTAAAGATGATTCCTTGTTCTCTATTAATGGCAGAAAAGATGAATTAACATGCCAGAGATGCTGGGCTGAAGGAGCTTCTCTTTGGAACCTGATTCCTAGGCCAGAGGGGAAAGGTGTGTGCAAGGTATGGGGTGGGTGTTTTTTGGTTTGGTTTAGTTAAACAAAGCCTGCTACACAGACTTATCACAGACAAAAAGACCAGAAGAACATTTTCAGCCTATTTAACTCTCGTATTCCAGAAAGGTACACCCTGACTATACAGCAGAAACATCAGCATCTCTCCATAGCTTGAACCTTCCAGTTTAGCTATTTTCATGAGAAATGGATTCACTGGGCTTCTCCAACATTTTACTCTTTACCTTTTGATTCCTCTTATGAGCAGAGAAGCCCAAGGCTGGTGCATGCTGAGGCACCAACCATCATCTGAAATCTCCTGTAACTCTCGGTCCTGAATCCGGAGTCTGTTCCGCTCTGAGCCAAACTCTTCTCCAGCACCCATGGAATGGGTGGCTCCCCTGTGTGGGAGCAAGCCAGTCTGGTCCACCCACTTCAGTGTTCAAAAGAAAGAAGAAAAAAGTTAGCACCTCTCTAGTAGCAATATACATAAAATGTAAATCCTATCTGAAGCTTTCCTTCACTTAAAGATAGCGTTGTATTACTCTTACTGGGAACATTCATCCTTCCCTGCAAAGAGAATGCTGCACGTGCACACTGTACTTCGGTAGTAGGAAAGGCAGAGTGAATCCACTCTGTGTAGCTCTTCCTTTCTGTGTGTCACAGCTAAACTACAGATTTAAAGAATAAAACTGCAGGCTGGTGTTTTAAAGTATTCATAGGGAAATACAATTTTCAAAGCATGTTCACAGCTGTCAACACTCAAAACTGGTAATCATCCTGCTTCCAAAATGCTTAGCACATACCAATCGTATCATGATTAAAGTAGAATTAGACGCTAGAGATTATGCCCATCGAGATCAGGAAAGCTGGCAGAAAAGACTTCATTAATAGAGCTGAAAAACAACACAGCCCTAGGCTGACTCTCAGAAATTCTTCCAAATTCCTGAAGAGGTGGCAGGAGACTACAACCCAAATAAACCAAACCTCCTGAGAGCAGGGCCAAGAGCAGGGAACTGGCAAATCTTCTCTATCTCTAACTCAGATGGCAAACGAGAATCTCTGAGACAGGGGAGGAATGAGGCACTCCTACAGGGACACTAGAATTCACAATTCTTAAGCACAGCTCTCCCAGAGTTAGTCAGAATTCTGCTCTAAATCAGTTCAACTCATTCAACAAAATTCAACTCATACTGACCAAAGGAGCAGGCTGAAGAAGATGGGGATTCACTAACACACCAGAACTCGGAGTCATCTTTGCTTCTGGGTTGGAAGCTGGCTTGTTCAGCGTGCCACAATTAATGGCTTCAATAGTTTCATCCAGTCTGTAAGGACAAATGAGAGGCATGAGAATTCCCTCCTTCCCCCTGGCAAAATCCCTGCACAAACACCTCTAACCTGAGTCTTTCCATTTTTTTAACCACTTTCCTTAAACTAGATGATTTCTTTGCTTTAATTTCAATGGTTATTCTTATCTACCACAGAAACTCTTCCAGGTCAGAAGCCGAGATTAATTGGTTCTGGTGAGATAGTCCTTCTGCAACAACTTTGCAGGGAAGATTTATGTCTAAGAGATGTGTTAGCTCTGCAAGTCTCACACAGTCAGGCTGAGGCAGCGATCTCAGCAGGTCTGTGCTGAAAGATTATATGCTGCAAGCCAAAAAGACCCTGAAGGAAGAAAAGGATGTGGAAGTGCATCCTATAAACAGAGGTGCCCTTCAAGAGAATGGCTTGCACAGCTTTCCTTACACTTCTCTTCCAGAAGCTACTCTTCACCAGTAGCAATTTTCACTTCCCTGCTCTCACTTACTTGCTGTGGTATTCAGCCATCCCACAGTCCTCCTCCAGGATCTGCCTTCCAGCAAAGTCGATGGTGATTTTTTTGGCAAGGCGGGAGGCATGGCGCAGCTCCTGCAGTTCCTGCTCTCTCTTCTGTAGAGCCTCCCTCTCTTGCTTGGACAGCCACTGGTTGGAGTCCGTCGCAAAATAATCTGATTCGTCGTCAATGACCTGGGTTCGACGCACGCTGGTGAGAAATAACCACAATGGTAAAAGACCAGCCCAGAACAGCACCATATGCCCCAAACCTCCCTTTCTTCCTGCTCCCTCCTGCTCTCAGAGACACAAAGCAAGGACATCCCAACAGAACACATTAAAGGAGTTCATTCTTGTACTAGTGAATGAGAACACCAAACTTCACTGCTCACAGCTGGTACTTACCTCGTCCTGTCAAACTCCAACAACTTGTCTTTGTGTCTCACAGCCATCTCTAGGCCTGCTTTCAGTCTAGCTTCTTGCCGAGGCAGTAGGTCTTTGCTTATGGCATCCAAATTCCCTGAACTTTCAGCACCTGAGATAGAAAATAAATCACAGCTTCAGGGAAAGCTGGTTGTTTAAAGCCCAGTCTCGGTAGGGTTGGCTGCAGACATGCCCCTAAAATAAACGCCATTCAAGGAGTGAGAAGAAATACCTTGCATCAACACCACCATCTGTCTAAACCAACTTCTGAGCTTTTCTCCAGCCTCTTTTGCAAAGTTCCCCCTCCCAATAGGAGAAAGCATTTAAAACTTGAGTGACAATGTCTAGGCAGTGTTTAAGAGACAAAGTCTTGGTCTTTGATTTTCCTTTGGCCTTTTGCAATCACTTGAGCAACCCAAACCCATTGTCAGTGCAGGCCTTGAGGGTCCTCCTAAAAGCCAAATTATCTCCTAAGCGCTGTTACCACTACAAAGAGTCTCTAGTCACAATACATGGATGACAACTGCTAGTTATGCACAGAGCATGCCTTGTGTCTGCTGCTGTACAAGCTTCTCACAAATGAAATCTCCCCACAACACACCTCAGCATGTTTCTGAGACCAGCTGTTGTTAGAGAGAGAGAGAGAGAGAGAAAGAGAAAGAGAAAGAGAAATATATTCCCAGCAATAATCTCTTATTTCTTACCACTTCTGGCTAGAGGCCAAAATCCAACCAACCAAACAAAAGGAGAAAATGTTTGTCTCACAGCAACAATGGAACGAGCCAATGTATTTCACAGAGGACAACACACAGCATAATGCCTTTATTTCAGGGAAACAAAAAAGCCTTTATTTCCGTGTAGCAGCCAATCCACATTTTTTCCCCTCCTGAGACAAACAGCCATCCACATTTGAGCCTTCACCTACACAGACAATGCACAAAGCGAGATCCAGCAGAGACAGAAGTGGAGCCCAATAAAATGGGTAAGAAAAAGGGATCATGAAGTACAACAGGATCTCTACAGGAAGATTATAAACAGGCTGACTCTGACCACCTATTGTTCCTGAGGACTTACAGGACCTCCTGCACATCAGCAGTTCTAAACAGATATTGACACCAAGACCCAGAGTAAATACTTCCCCAGTTCCTCAGCAAAGTTTATTTTTCAACCAAGAACACTGTGACCTTGGCTATATTTCAACTCAACTCAGACAAACATCCCCATAGTGCAGAGGTCTTTACTCGGAGATTGGTTATTATTTCCTCGTGCTTTCCTTTCTCCATTCTTATTTTTAGCTCCCAAGATAAATGTTAGATGAGAGAAGCCATTAGAAAGTTTTAACCAACACTTCTCTCGCCCTGGTAAATCAGATAGCAGCACTTCATCTTCCACAGCATACATTCCACCCAGGACCTATCCCAATTTTCAAGGACTGCTGTGGTGATCCAGTTCAGAATTGATTCAGGAATGCCTGACAAGCAGCCCTAAGGCCTCTGGGTAAGGACATTATACACTGCCATTTGACACTTGCACTTATCACCAACAATGATGTCCAGAAACGCCGCTGAGTGCTTGCTGAGGGCATATGGCATGCTGGCGTCCCAGCCACCCCTGTAATGCTCACCACAGACACCATGCATCAATGAGGGCAAGTGTCACAGGGAAATTTGAAGCAAAAGCAATTCATAAACTGCCCTGGCAATCTGCATCTCAGAGAAACATTCAGGCACTAGTTCACAAGAAAGAATTTCCCTTTGACTTTGCCAACAATTCGTCATAATTATGATTTAAGCAACATATACAGCAAGATATGCGCGCACTTGTTTCTACAAAGCAAGCACGAGGCAAAGCAAAATAGGTTGGATTTATTACTTTAAGATATGAGATGACACTAACCTGCCATGAGCTTCTTCAGCAGCTTCTGGCTCTTGTTTGAGTCCCGCTGAAGAATGTCCTGCTCTTCTTTAGTGCACACCTAAAGTGGAAACAAAGGCTAAGAAGGACATCGTGTGGTCAACAAGCTTCAGAGCTTGGGACAACAGCTCAAGGTGAGCTGCTTAAAATGGCCAGGATAGTCCATGCCTTTATTCTTTCTGTGTTGTTTACATGGGGAGAAACCTAACAGCTTGCTCTTAAGTAACAACAACCTGTGCAAGTTATACAGCCTGGTTCTGTGGGCAGACACACTGCTGAGTGCTCTCAGAGGACAAGACACCCTCAGAAGCTTCTTGAGCAGATGAACAATACTTAACTCACAGTCATTTTCTGGGTTGATCATATGGAGATAAAGAAATCTTTGAAAACTGCAGCCAACCTGATTTCAAACATTTTCTACACCCAACCAATATCCCCTATCTGCTGAGGTTAACCTCACTGAATCTATACTCCTTAGCTTGCCCACTTCTCCAAAAGGTGCCCTTTCAACCAAATGCAGGACATAAAGGAGGCTTTTCTCCTTCCATTTACAGGCCAAGCTGGGCTGTGCCCAGGACGAGTCTGAAGCCTGGCGTGCGATTTGGACACTGGTGCAATGCAGAGACAGCCCTAAGAGTTGGTCATAAATCAGGTAAGCTCCAAAGTGATGCAAATTACAAGGGAAACTTCTCTGCTCTCTTTGTAAAAACACAAAAGTGACTTGAAGTCTTCCCCTGGCAGCAGATGCCACAGGTTCGTTCCTGCACAGCTCTAGATCTTGGGGCACTTTGCTTAGGGAGCTTTGATCCAAGACAAGAAGCTAGTTCAGCACATTTAAAGCCCTGAGCAAAATACAATTCTACGTAAAAATGGCAAATAAAAAAAAACACCTCATTACTAACCAGTGAACCACAAAACAAGCAGGGTCCAGAGCCTTCCTGTTCACACACAATGCGCCCACAGACCAAGCAGTTGTTGATGAGCTTGTGTTTCTGGCCCAGGCACTCACAGGCGTGATGGCCAGGGATCAGGACAGCCAGCCTGTCTTGCCCTTCTTTGGTGTACAGGCTGACATATTTGGTCTTTCTCTTACAGGAATTGCTGCTGCTTGAAGTGCTGTTCTCCTGCGCCTGAGAAGAAAAATAAAGAAAACGTGTTCACATTGTAATACTAGCAGCAAAGGGAAAACACTGATACTTGACCAGGCCGAGAAGACTCAGATAATCTCTATTTTGCTTAATCAGAATGAAATTTCCCCATGTCTAAACCAAGACAACTGAAAGAGAACCTTAGGCCTGCCAGAAACAATCCGAGGCATCTCACCAGAGCAAGGACATGAGGATGCTGCAGGCCCATTTGATCTCTTTGCTGCCTCTGCAAGCTGAAATCACTTGGGTCTAGATGGCAGGTGTGCTGTCAGTCCTGCACATGTGCAGAGGTTTTCCATGTTCTGCACATTCACGTTTTTTACTGTGAACATTTCTCTAACGATACTCAAAAACAGATGCTTTGAAAGTAAGCACAACAGACTCCAGACACAAACCCATCCCGTGACACTGGGTAAGACTGGTTTCAAGTAAGAATTGCATACTAGTCATGACCAAGAAAAGGTAGGACTTAATATCTTGATCTATTTCAGCAAGCATCATTCACATATAAATGCACTCTGGGCTTGTCATAATCGTGACACTTAACACTCCTCTTGCAGCTCAAGAACAGCATCTCTTTGCCTCTTCTCTGCATAGGCTCCCTGACCGGTAAAAGAGGAAGCTATTCCCCAGAAAGCCAGTTTTAATCCACCACTGAACAACAACTTGCATTCTCCAGCTGCTGCATGCTCAAGGATGAACTTGTGGCTCACACACTGGTTTTCCTAGCAGTAGTGACACACTGCAGCATATCTCTTGCTTGGCTGCTTTCACCAGCTTACTCTGTGCTCTGCTCTAAACCAAGCTACTAGTTTCACAATGAGAAGATAAAGCATTTCTAGTCCTCTCAGCTCTCCCCAATTGGCTTCGCTGCCACTACCAGATTCAAACTCCACTGTTCAGCAGAAACAAAAACAGACATAGTGACCCCAACACCTTGGCAGAAGTTTCTCAGTATTTCCAATAGGCTGAGAGGGAACTAGAAGGAAATCATAGAATCATAGAATCACTCAGGTTGGAAAAGACCTTAAAAATCATTGAGTTCAACCACGACCTAACCATACACCCTAACTCTAACAACTCTCCACTAAATCACGTCCCTGAGCACCACATCCAAACGGTTTTTAAACACATCCAGGGATGGTGACTCAACTGCCTCCCTGAGGAGGCCATTCCAGTGCTTCACAACCCTTCTGTAAAGAAGTGTTTCCTGATATCCAACCTAATCTTACCCTGGTACAACTCGAGGCCATTTCCACTCATCCTGTCACCTGCCAGTGAGAAGAGACCACCCCCAATCTGCTGCAGTCACCTTTCAGCTATTGGAAGAAAGCAATTAAGGTCTCTCCTCAGCCTCCTCTTCCCCAGACTAAACAGCCCCAGTTCCTTCAGTCTCTCTTCATAGGCCATTTTCTCCAAGCCCTTCCCCAGCCTTGTAGCTCTTCTTTGAGCCTGCTCCAGCACCTCCATGTCCTTTCTGTACTGAGGTGCCCAAAACTGAACACAGAAGTCAAGGTGAGGCCTCACCAGTGCCGAGTACAGGGGCAGGATGACTAGGATCCCCTAGTCCTGCTCACCACACCATTCCTGATACAAGCCAGGCAATGGAACATGACCTGTCCGTTTGGAACCCCACAGTTCCAAAAGTGTTTGTTTGCTTTGTAAATCTTTATCAATATTTTAAGCATTTGCACTTCCCCTACTACAGAACCCTCAGTTTAAAACCATAAGTAAGTTCCACCATTTATTCAGGTGCAGCCCTAACTTTTAAGATTTGTATGATGCTCCACGGCTTCACAAGGTGAGACCTGGATAAATCACAGAAATTAGCTCTGGGGACGTACACCATGCTCAATGTTTGTAGCACAAAGGAATCCACTGCAGATCTAACAACGTCAGTTAAGTGCAGCACACTTTTACACACTTATTCTGCATAGCACGCTCAGCAGAAATAAAATTCAGAAATTCAGTCTGGGTAACTACAACAGTATTTGATTTGATGTGCTTAATCTGACAAACAGTTGTATTGAATGGAAAACAAGCCTGTTACAAAATGTATTAATTAGCTATCAGAAAGAAAGGTAATGAACGCTTGCTGGCCTTGCACTGCTTTGAGACAGGATATCCTGGTTTTTAGTGTTTCTATTCTCATATTCTGCAGCTTCTTTCTGTAGAGCTCTAACATTCAAGATCTCCTTTCTGGAGCAACATGAGCCTGAAATATTTCAGTTTTTCATTAAAGCTTTATTCAGTGTGATCGCCAAGTTTCAAATAGAGCAAGAAGCAATGTTTTGCCACATTCCTTAATGCCACAAGCTTCAAAACTTCAGTCTCACCATCCCCAAGAATAGTATTTGCCCCATGGCAGGAAAAGACTCCTATATACAGACAAAGTGAGTACTGTCTGCTCAAACCTGCATTCAGCTTCAAAAGGAGTGGCAATACAGAAACAGCCACCACAACACGCAGCCATGCAGTCAGTGCTCATGTATCAGATGCACCCACCTTGGCCAGGTCGAGGGGGGTTTTTACTTCCTCCACATGTGTGCTGGGCTCCACATATGCAGGTGTTTCCTGTTTATTCCTTCCTTTGCGTTTCCCCTTCTTTGCTTGGTCTACAGTCCGAGGTGCCTCTGAAGTCTCTGCAAGAGCATGTAAGCACAAAGGCTCAGAGCAAGCGGCAATAGGATGCCCCTGAACTCCTGCATCCACTTAGGGAATGGAAATTGGCTACGTCGTAATGTAGAGAAATAGGACCAACCATAGGCATTAATGGTAAATGATTTTCTACAAGCAGAATAACCAAGATACTTAATATTTTGACCCCTCCCTCCCCACACCACTCACCATCCTTTTTCCGATAGGCCGGTAAGGGCTCAGCAGGTGACTGAGAGGACTGCTGCCAGCGTGACAGCAGCTCTTCCACAAACCTCCCCTTCTTCCCCTCGGTGCCTTGGAGGAGATCGACCACATACTCACGGATCTCATCCTCATTTGTTATCGACAGGATGTAGCTGCAGGAGGGTGGGATGGAAAGAAGTGGGTATGGGGGCTTTTGTTGTCAGGGCTCCAACGGCCTGATCACACACACAAGGAACTAGCAGAACTCATCTCCCTTCTTCATACCAGGTTTTTGTGGAGTTTATAGAAAGGGAAAGGTTTTCTAAGATAAATGCTTAAACAGATGTATTGGCAAAACCCTTGTGGCTGTTTCAGTTAAATTAATAATAAAGGAACACAAACTGCCTTTCTTTCTCCATTCTAGGCTAAGTTTCCTATTCCCATTGCCCCATAATAATAACAAATAATCAGTGGGATGGTGTTTGCACTCACATAATGTAAAAAAGCCTAACCTAGGACAACGAGAAGCTCCTGCTTAACCACACAGAGCCCACAGCGTGCTCTTCTTCACGCACACCCCTCTCAGTGCCAAAATCAAGGGCAAACCAAGGCACAGAGGTGCCACAGAGCCATCAGCAAGTCCCCCAAAGACAGAGAAAGGGGACAGCTGATGGGGCCCCTGAACAGCTTCCTAACGGCAGCTGTTGCGCTGGGTAACAGACGGGTCCGAAAGAAGTATTTCCCACTTGTTCACATAGAGGATGCGAACCAGGAGTCGAGGAGAACCAAAGGACAGGCGGGGGACCTGAGGAGGGCCGTGAGGGGGAAGGGGGACCCTCAGGAGGTACAAGGCACGGGGAGGACGTGCGGAGGACCAAGGGACCGGGTTGGGGAAACGGGAGCGGAACGGGGGAGCCCAGCAGCAGCGCGACGCAGGGCGGCCCGTGGCGGCGGGCAGGCTCACCGCACGACCTCCTCGCCCACGTCCAGCCCGAAGTCGCCGCGCAGGCGCCGCACGCACCAGCCCAGCAGCGCGCCGGGCGCCGCCATCTTCGCGCGGGGACGGGAAATGGCGGCGCACCGCCGTCCCCCGGAAACGCGGCCCCAGCGCTCCCGTTCCGCGGGTCGAAGAACAGAGCGGCATTCCCCTCGGAGTGCTTCTCGCGTTTTGCCCCAGCCCGGCTCTGGGACAGGTCACTCTCTCAGGGCTTTGTTCCGAAAAACGCAGCCGGTATGCATCTACCCTATACGAAAACATCGTATACACGCATCCTTTTTTAATACTAAGTGACAGAGAAAAAGCTAGCAGAGCAGGAAAGCCTGGTGCCGCCCCCGGATACGGCCGGGCTACGAGGACCGCGAGGAGCCGAGCTGTCCTCCTCCTCCGAGGGCTGCATGACCCCGACCACCAAGGAGGGCGAGGGGGCGCCGAGCAACCGGCCGCGGGATGCTGCTGTAGGAGGCGGGAAACTGCCCGAGAATCCGAGGAGAGGGACGCGGAAGTGGGCAGGAAAGCGGCCGTCAGCTACAAGCGCTGCCCGGGCGGCACCCGGCTCCAGGCTGCAGCTGAGCGACCCCAGATCGCGGGGCTGAGGAGAAACTCGGTGAGGGGCGGAGCGAGCGCTGAGGTAACTCGCGCTCCCATTGGCGGATTGGTGCGTCGGCGCTGAGGTAATTCGCGCTCCCATTGGCGGGCGGGCGTCGGTAGTGCTGCTGGCGCGGGATGGCGCGCATTAAAGGGAGCGGTGTTGGCAGCGCGTACCGCAAAGGTGAGGTGAGGGTCGCGGTGGGGACCGGAGGCGGGGTCCCTCGGTCACAGTAGTGTTGGCCGGCCGCGCACCGCGGAAGGTGCTGGGCTCCGGCAGGCTCAACACGGCCCGCCCGTTGAGGATGGTGTGCGTGAGGCCCGTTGCCGCCTGGCAGAAGGGCATCGGGGAGTTCCTGCGGCCGCAGCGGAACTGCGATCCCGACGGAGAGGCGGCAGGGAGCAGCGGGCAGGGCAAGAAGAGGCGGCACGGGGCTGGTTGAGGTCCCTCAGGTCTCTTTCCTGCAGGAGGAGGTCTCTGCTCGCTCTCACAGCCTCGCTAAGCCCTTTCTCGCCCGCTGCCCCGCGCCCTGCGGAACACGGCTTGTCGTGTGGACAACAGAGGATGTGATCTTAAGGAACTGGGCTTCTATTCAGCTTTTGAGCAGATCTAAAAGTAGGCGTTTGAGAGGCTGCGGGGAAAACTGTGGTAAAACTATGGTGAAACTAAGACGTTTTTAAGCACAGTGGTAGCACACCGTGTCACAGAGCTCCCCGTGCCCTGGGACTTGTGGGCACCGAGAGCAAGCGGTGTGTTCTGGAGAACTTCACCTCTGGTATTATTACTACTGCGACCATAACACGGTATCTGCTTTGGAGTTCCAGGTTCCCGAGGCCCTCTCTCATTTCCTGGACGTCTGATGATTTGATGATAACACCCTTGGTGAGGTCTGTGTGAACACTGCAGCTTTTTTAATTGTGGGGGGCGAAGAAGGAAACCCAAAACCCAGTGGTCTTGTATGCTCTCTGTAAGTAGATTTTAAAATGTTTTTAATAAAATAGGAACAAGCAGAGAAGTGCCAACAGAAGTTAAACCAACTACTCTGGCAGCATTGCCTTATTTATTAGTCTCAGCTCGTTAGAGCTCTTGCAAACGTCCACAAAGACAAAAAGAAGAAATTCCCCATGCTGACAATAGATGTCAGCAGCACTTCCAGCTACCAAGGGCTGGGCTGTGCCAGTGACCCGGCAGTGCACATTTTGCCTTTTTTTTTTTTTTTTTTTTTAACATCAAAAAGGTGCTGTGAAGAGGTTTTGGGCACATAGGAAAGCAGCATTTGGAGGCGATAGGTGGGGAATATGTAATAGTGGGGATGATTTGATGGCCCTGGGCCTTGGGCAAGGACTGTTGTGGCCAAGCTCTCTGCAGACCCTCTTTCCTGGTGTTTTTCTGCTTTCCTTTAGAAAGCAAACGCTTTTCTGAGTGACGAACTTACCCATTTCTGTCTATCTGAAGCTGGTGGGGCCGCGTGTTGCTGCTGCGCACTGGGCCATTGCTGAGGCTGCTTCCAGCAGAAGAAAGGAGGAGGAGCAGCCTCCTGCCGAGTGCCAGCGGTGCGTGAGGAGCTGGCGGTTAGCGGACAGCCTGCAGAACGCCCCTCCGCTCCTCCTCGCTGCCCACTGCCCCGTGCTGACGTGGGGCTGGCGTTCGTGAGGCCCTTCGGGTGGCGGCTCCTGGAGCGGCGCCCGACAGCGGCACGACTGCGTGCCCTGCGCCGCACAAAGCCGCCTTGTCACAGCCGCTGCGCGGAGTGGGGCCGCCGTGCTCCCACCGCCACGCTGTGACACGTGCCCCACAACGGGGCCTCGCGGCAGCCCTGCGCTTCCCAGAGCGGCTGCGGGAGGCCGGGCGGGCCGTGACGCGGACGGTCGGGGGAGCGGCTGTAAATTGGAAGCGGAGGCACGGGGTGAACGCCGCGAAGTCGTTCGCTGCGAGGCGGTGAGGCCCCGGCACAGGCGGTCCTGGGGGCGTCGTACTTTAAAAAAGCAAAGGGTGAACGTTAACGTGGTGAAAGCGCGCCGCCGGTTTTGCTGTACGGTTAGTTTGTTCCGTTCTGCAGCCGTTTCGTCCTCCCCTCCCACGCACCGGCCCGGCTTCCGCATGGCAACCGAACGCGGTTGCTAGGGCGAGCCCGCCGCCGCCGCCACCCGGAAGCGCTGCCGGGCGGCGCCGCCGCTTCCTCGCTATAGGGCGGTGCCCGGGGAGGGGCGGCGCTTCCCCGAGCGCTTCCGGGTCGGCGCTCTGCCCGTCGAGCGCGGCGGAGGGAGGAGCAGCGGCGGGGCCTGCCCGGCCCAGCCCAGCTCAGCCCGGCGCCGGCGCAGCCAGGTAGGGCCCGGGGCCGGGGGGTTCGGGGCCTTGGGGCTCGGCTGTGCCGTGCCCGGCCTCTCTGTGGCCGGGGGCTCGTCGCGGAGCCGGCCTGAGCGTGGGTGGGAGCGAGCTTCCGTGCCCGGAGCCGCCTCACCGGGTGCGGGGCCCGCGAGCGGCTGCCCCCGGGGCTCCGTTGTGAGGAGGGCTTGTCGCGGGAGGGGCCGTGCCGCGTTTCCCCGCGGAGCGGCGTCCCGAGCCGTGCGCGGGCTGCGTGCGGGGCTTCGGCTCCTTTGTGTCCCCCGGTGCCTGGGGAATTGGCCGTGCTCGGCGCGGTGTGGGCGCGGGGCTGCCCGGCGGACCGGCTCCCACCCGGGCCCCGCAGCGTCGAGCTCCGACCTCCTTCCCGCGAGGCGGTGGGCTTTGCGGGCGCGCGGCCCTGCGCCCGGCCGTAGCGCTGCTCCCCGCTCCGGCAGCACCGTCCTCGGCTTCTCACCGGTGCCGCGGGTGTGCGCTCAGGCCTGATTTATTTTGTTATCGGTGACCTATCGCATATGGGCAGCCAGCTGCCACTCCCTGAGTCCTTCAGCGCTCGGTGCCCCAGCTGCTGCCTTCGATTTGCATCAATCTCCCATCTCTGGAGCGGCCGAAGTTGCTTTTTTTATTGTAATCCCCCGTCGGTACCTCCAGCTGCCTGCCGAGGCTGGTGGGTGAGCGGAGAAGAGGGAGCTTTGTTCCCGTGTAGAAGCTCTTATCAAATGTTAGCAGCACTTTCCCACAGAAACATTCCGAAAATACAAAGAGCTGCTTTGAGTGGTGAGCAAGGAGAGATCGCCTTCGTGCAGAGGGTTCCTTGCTGGATGCGGTCTTTTGGCAACGAGGCTCTTCTGGAAGCAGAACACCGATGTTCTGAAGGTCTGGGTGTTGTGGATGGGTTTGCTGTGGTGCCCTGCATGCAAACAGCTGGGGGTCCTCCAGAAATGCTACTAATTGTAAGTGTTGTCAAGCAGTGTTGTGCAGGAAGGGTGACCCCAGGAAAGGTGCAGCCTATTGGCAGAAGGTGTCATGCTTAGAAAAGGTTGTTCTGTCTTAACAAAGCTCATAAAAACAAAGTGTGCTTAGAAAGCTTGGCTGGTGAGAAGTAGCCAGGAATGTCTGTTCTTGGTGAAGTTGCTGCTAGCAGTGTAGTGGTACCCTGGTATGGGTGATATAGAAAGCTTTTGGCAAAAATCCTGCTGACTCCAGTGAAATACTAAACTATCAGCTCGATAAAATCACTGCCTTCCACTTGTGCCTTGCATAAGTAGCTATTCTCTGTTTAGATACAAATGTTTCTTCCAGTGCTGTCTGCCATGAAATTCCGTTTTCTGGACTCATTGAAGCATCCTTTAGTGCCTTTTCCTGTTGCTCTTTTTTTTGGGAGGAGCTGCTGGGTTGCGAAGGCTTGCAGAAGCTCAATAGGAATCCCTAGAAGTGTATTTCCAGCTGCTTGCCTGAAATCCATGCTGCTTTAGACTGTTTGGGGTGGCTTGCCGTGCTGCTCTGTGTGGAAAGCTACTGTTAGACTGATGGCTGAGAACTTACTTCAGGTTCTTACCACAACCTTACTTGCAGCCAGCACGTACCCATCTGTTTTTGTACCAGCACCACCTCTTCTCTTCTCTGGTGCTTTCAGAGTGTGCTTTGCTCTTGGCTGCTTCTTCCCAAGCCCCACAGTTGCTGTTTTCCAGGTTATCTGCCCATCTCTGCCATGCACATGTTTGCTTAAACTAACCCCTGAACGTGACTGACCCAAGCATGTCTCCTGGGGATGCCGCATGGTGTCACAGAGTTCCTTTGTGCCGTTGTCTTTCACCACTCTGTCAGGGTGGTGGCTTGCAGGTCGCAGCAGAAAACTAATATCCAATCTCTTGTTCCATTGCACTAAAGACCTTCCAGTTCTTCAGACAGCTTTTTGCGAAGCATGAAGTGTGTGGCCTTGCCTTGCTCCATCCCATCTGTATTTCTCTTCCGTGGGAGTTTCTGTGCTGTTCCAATTCTCTGTGCTGCCACCAATTCAACTTTTCAAACTGAAGTTGCTGCTGGAAAATGTTCTGGTAAGGCTGATCCAGATAACGTGTTCAGAGAAAGCACTACAAGGGGAGCTATTAGCTGGGTGAAGCTGAGGGCAGCATAACCTGTAGCTGTCTTAAACTCATTGCCCCTTTTTTTTGGTGGATGTCTCTTAAATTGCCACTTCTTTGGAAGCAACCAG